GCAGAGAAGATTTAAATGGTGTGGAGTAGATGGAGGCTTGTTGTGAGACACAATCTCCTTCCCTTTCCTTCTGCCAAGACTGCTGGAAGATTTCTTGTAGAGCTGGCTGTAAAGTCCCAGTGTGTGAGGGTGTTTCCTGCGCTTAAAGCAGAAGGGGAAATCTGTGCACATGGGTATTCATCTCACCCTGCCTCTGTGACAGCTTTGATGTGATTGTGTGCGTGCTCCAGCTACTGAACCTTAAAACAACAAACAGCCAGGCACAGAAGCTGTAGCTTCTCCAGCCCCAATTTCTTTGCAGTTGTATGGATGAAAGGGGACGGGACTGCATGCAACACAGAGGGGTGTTCTGAGAGCCAGGGCTCTCATGTGAGCCCTGTTTTCTGACTGCTGTTGGAAACCAAGCATGAGGCACGTGCTTTGGGGATGCAGGCAGCATTGAAGTGTTCTATTCTCTATTCTCCTGAAGGCATGACTGCTGAGTACTATGCTGAGAGATGTCACAAACAAAGATTAGTAAAGGAGGCTTGAGGGAGAAACACTTGAGGCTGAGATGTGAAGTCTATCCCCACTTGCAGTGGTTTGTGTTGGAAGGCCTTCAGCAAGGAGGAAGAATGAGAGGGATTTAGGGTTAGAGAACATATGAGTACTGAGGCTGCAAAAACCAGTGGGTCCTTGCTCAGAGCAGCTCTAGGATATATGATGGAGTAAGTGGGTCAGTGCTGAAGCAGGGCAAGATGTAGGAGCAGCTTGGTTTTGGCTGTCATTCCCTTGTTGTAAAGCGTGAGCAATATATCCTCAAAGTCTCTGGCAGACTGGAGAGAGAAGCAACACCACAGAGCTGGGGCCAGGTCCTGCTCATCCACTTCTGAATGTTTGTCCCAATGGGGCCCAGATCCTGACAGCATGAAAATGGTAAACATAGGCTGATACCGTGCAAATGTGCTGTCCTGGGAGCTCTGAGGGAGAGAAGATGGCATGACAGGCTGGATTAGAGTATCTCATCCCTATGCCCTTGCAGCAGATTCTTCATACATGAATGGGGAACCTTGAGCCACTTGGCACAGCCCTGCAAGTGGGAACTGCGTGAAGGCAAGTGCTCTAGGTGGGATTTTCTTCCTGCATGCAAACCTTCCTCTCTGTTAGGCAGCCAAGTAGGCTTACAGCTGACACTGTCTGGCTGCCAGCATGGAGTAACCAAACACTGCTACAAGTACTCGCTTTTCTTGCTGTCAGCCTCTCTCATAGCTCTGTGATTTGTCACGGGTATCTGGCATTTCACGGGTATTTTCTAAAGGCCAGTGAAGTGTGCTTTGCAGCATGCATGGCTCTGATCACTGGCATGAGCTTTGAGTGAGCCTGTGCCTGTGTGTGTTCTGGGATAGAACAGTGGCAGTGAAGAACATCTTGCTGACATAGAAGTAACTGCTTCAGGTGAGCTGGCTAATGCCAAAAGGAAACAGGCCTTTCTGGTAGAGCTCTAGGAAAGGGTGAAGGCTGGTTCCTGTCATTCCTTTGTACTGCCCATGTGTAGCACATTTCTTTTCGATGTGGGCATCATGACTCGCTCAGCCCATCTGCCTGGGAGAGTTTACAAGCTAACTTATGGCAGCAGCCAAACTGACCATGGTAGCTTCATCACAGGGTCTTGGTTTGTGCCTCAATCTTAACTTGCTGAGCAGCACATTTTACCAAGTTGTGGAGACCAATTTCTGTGCCAAAACACCAGGAGGGTGGCCATGGAACAGATAGAACTTTTCTGCACCATTTGTGCCATTGCAAATGAGAGGCAGCAAAGGAGAATCTTCTTAAGCATTTGCTCTCTATTTGCAGGTGCTTTTAACCAGGCTCTCTACTATAAACTGATCTGGGATTTAGATGCATCTAAACGTCAGGCCTTGATCATCAAGTACTCAGCATTAAAGTGCCTTTAAAAATAGGGCTTGTGCTCTTAAATCAGATGAATAATCTTAGTCAAGCAGATTTGTCTACTGAAAAAAGTTGTTCTTCACACACTTGACTGTCGTAGTCTTTAACCTTAAGACAAAGTAGTTGGAGTTTTGGTTAAAACCTTATTGGCTTCAGTGTTAACATTAAAACTAAGTCCATGTTGAGACTATGATAAGCTTTGTGGTTGTGTGTGCTATTGCAGGCAACCTTTCAGAGGGGGCAGGCAGAGCTGAGGCTTCCAGTAAAATTTGTGACAGGCTCACAGAGGAATGTGCAAAATACAGCCCGTACATAGGGGCAGAACAAGTACTGCAGACACAAGGTGCTACATTTAAACTGCATTTAAGCTCTGCAATTACACCAGGCAAACACCTCCCCATTCCAGGCACTTAGCTTTTCCTTTTGTATCCGTTTGTATCAATCAGTCCAATATCTCTTTGGATCTCCTCTTTCCCATCCTGCTGTGGCCCTGAGGACTTGTAGGAGATTATCTAATAATAATCTCCTACAGTTTGAATAATTTCTGAATAGAAGTGTGAGGTTTCTGAAACCTCCAAGAGATTCTGGGCTGGAGAGTTGTATCCAAGCAGGGTGTCTCAATGCTGGTTTGTTATAGCATACATCACAGTGCATATTGCAATGGCATTTGCACTGGCTTTTATTCAGTAAATGATATGAGGTGTGATTTAGATAGTTATACCTAGTTTAGTATTGTGATGAATTTGTGCAGCAAAGATGATCGGTTTGCAATGAGAAGGGGATGGGAACAGTATAATAAAATAGCAGGGCATCTTTTAGCTGAAAGGGGGAAGGACTAGTAAGGACACATAGATGACCTTCTGTCCACTTGGTGCATGATATGTCTTACGGTGAAATTGTAAGAAAAGTCTTTCTTCTGGGGAGCAGCATGTGTGTCAGCAGGAAATGGGAGTGGGGCTGGAAGAGATTTGGTTGGGGCTGGGTACAGGGTAAGGTGAGCTTTATCCTAGAGACAGCCTAGGGAGGAAGGTGAAGCCATGAAAACAAGGAGGGTGACTGAAGAGCCGTGGCAAGGGTTTTGCCTGCAAATCAGACGTCTGTTTTACCCTACAGCAATCTCCTCTGTGTGAGAAATCACCATCTAAGTATTTCTGAAGTGGGAAGATGGAAATAGGCATGAAGGCTCAAGCAGACAGACCAGTCTTATTGCACTCCTCTGATTTAAGATTTAGTGGATATTAGCCCTGTCTTTAAAGTGCATAATGGTGCACTGATTTTGTGACTCATTTTTCAGAAATGGGCTTTCAGTACAGTTATCAGTACTGCAGGTTGGAAGTCAGCCTGGGGTTGGAAACCTGGGAATTGCTGGGAGCTGGAGCCCTGTGGTGTAATGCTTGATGGGGTACAATGCTGCTTTCAAAATATGACACCTCATGTAATTGAAGACGCTGCCTTGCAGACTTAACTTTGAATTGCAAATGCCATCACATTTCTTCTGGTTTAGAAGACAGCATCTTCCTCACTTAAAAGCTGTTCTGCCAGTTCAGGTTTAAGTGTAGGTGTGAGGTGAGGGGAGATACTCAAACCAAATGTGAATTCAGACTGCAGACTATGGGAGCAAACTAGAATTGCTGGCCCTACAAGTATCTCTCAAGGGGAACTGTGCATATTCCTTGCCAAGCCCTCCCCTCTGTTTTCTCTATATGAAATTACGTGCAGTTTTCTGAAAGTGAGAAGAGAAGCAGAAGAGGGAAGGAGGAGAGGGAAGCAGCATTTATAGGGTTTCATGTCCTGTGATGGGGCAGCCTGTTGTGCTATTGCTGCACAGACTGAGCAGTACTTTGAAGTGTGATTTCTTTTCTGTTTTTCCTGGGGTGCCCAGCAATAGCCACTAGACAGAAGGAGATACTTTCTGATGTTCTTTAACAGTACAGGAATTTATTGCAAGTGCATTTAAAAATAGAGGAGTCCAAGGACCATCTGTCTTGAGTGTTTTAGTGGAAGCAGGGACAGCTTGCAGTGGCTGCTTGATTGATGGGTCCAGAGAGTTTTGTGTGGACCTGTGGCTGCAGCCCACTCACAGCTGGCCTGCCTCTGTAAAGAAAGTCACTGATCAAGCCAGCTGTGACCTGGTGCCTCTGCTTTGGGTAGGTCTGTTCGGCACCCATGCAGGTCAACTCAGAATTGAGCCTTTGCTGGGCATCCCATATTGCCTTTGAGAGCAGACCCTATCTCCCAGAGAGGTATCAAGAGGTGTTTCTGGTGCTGTTGGGTGTCTAAGCTGAAGATGGACTGCTTTGAGGAGATGACATGTTGATGGCTGGGGGATCTGCCTTGCTGGGGCCAGTCATGTGTGGAATGGAGCCAGGAGGAAACTTGATTTGCTCTGAGCAAGCTGTTGGGGAGTGTTCCCCAGGGCTGGGCACATCTCAGCAACTGGCTTTCCCCTCTCACTGTGCTGACCTGTGTCTTGCCCTGAGCTACATTCTGCAAGGGTGCCAGCAGTGAGGAGCTGCCAAGTTGGCACTTGAACAGTGGAGCTGAGGCAACTCATTTCACAGAGGGATAGCAGGCGTTGTGAGAGCCCCCCACTGCTAGTGACTCAATAAAGAGCTGGTATTGCTTCCAACATGGAAGAGCTGACAGCTGGGAGCTGGGATTTGCATGCTCAGCAGAGTACAGCATAGCCAAGAGTCCTGATAGGATGCAGCAGCAGTCCCATGGCAGTTGTGGCAAATGCACCCAGGGAGAGAGGCATTAGGGAATCTTCCATCTAGATGCTGTGAATGCCTAAGGAGGTCTTGAGGCTGTGTGCAATGATTCAAAGCAGAGACTGGAAAGGTGGCAGGTATGTGTGTGGGGAACAGCATGTCTGTAAGCCCTACTCAGGACACTCACCATGGCTACATGTATGGGACCTGCTTGCAGTGCAGGACCAGGAAGCCCTCTTGCAGTGCTTGCCTGCATCACTCATGGGTGCTTACCTGGTGAGGGGGTGAGAAAGGGCATACTAAAAGCAAAAATTGCCTTGTTGATGCTTAAAAGTTTTCACTGTTTTCCTTTATTCACAGGAGAACTGCTGAGTCAGCCGAGACCAGAGGGACTGACGGAGATCATCTGTCCCAAGAACGGCAGCGAGCGAGTTAATGTTGCCTTGGTTTACCCCCCCACTCCTACTGTGATCAGCCCTTGTTCCAAGTGAGACCAGAAAGCAGACCTATTCCCCTGTCAGTAGGCACCAGAAAGCCTATGTAACACATGCCCTCACTAAGCACTTCTTTTGCAAGGGAGCAGCCCCACAGCCTGGGGACTGTTCTAATTATTTGTGGCTATAGACAGCCCACTCACAGGATAAGAAGTACAGTGAAATGGGCTGAGGTGTTCTCTGAGCTGTTTTGTGGCAGATGCAAGATCAGGAGATAGTGCAGTCATAGGTGGGTTTTGGTAGGATGGGAGCTCAGGAGATTTCTGTGCACTCCCTTCTCAAGCAGGACCACTCTCACAGGCAGGTCAGGTTCCTTGGGACCTTGTAGAGGTGAGGGTGTCATCCTTGGATGACAAGGATGGAGGTGCTACCACCCCCCCCCCCCCCAGATTTTATTCTGGGACAGAACTTCTTTCCTTTTGTTCCATCTAATTCTCTCTTTTTATTTTATTGGCTTGGTTTTCATTGCCATAAGATGCATTACTGGCTTGTGTTCAATGTTTTCCACCAGATCCCAAGCCAGCAGGACTCCAGGCTGTGGTGGTGCCTGGGGTTGTCCTGTTGTAGGAGTAGAGTTATACACTTGTCCTTGTTGAATTTTACAGCACTGTTGTTGATTCAGTCCTCCAACTTGGTAAGGTCCTCCTAGATAGGAGCCCTACCCTCTTGTGTATCTATAGTCTATATGCACTTCACAGAGTGGGAATGTACTTGGAAAACAGAGCTGTATTGTGATGGGAAAAAAAGTGGAACAACACTCACAAAAGCAGTCAGTGCCTTGGCTTTTTGATGCATGAGTTTTCCAGAAAAACAGAAATTCAGCCAGGGTCTGTCTAATTGGAGTGGCACAAAGGAATTTGGTAGGGAGCTTAGAGGAGCAGCTGAGTGTCTTGCTGGTGTCTGCTGCTGTGCTGTATGTGAATGCCTGTTACTTTCACTTCAGTGTCTTGACAGTAGCTTTAGATGCTGTTCTCTCTGTCCAGTACCCTCCCATTCCAAAATACCACTCCTGGTAGAGAATAGCTCCAGTGATAGGTGGTTGTTGAGCTGTGTGTGAAGGTGAAGTTGAAGTACCTATGTGAGGCAGAAAACAGAGCTGCTCTGATACTGAGCCAGAGGCCATTACTGCCTGTTCATTTGGTTCTCCTGTGTGTGTGTACTTGGCACAGCACGTTTCTTACCTGCAGGTGCCATTTTTATTGTACTGTGCTGTCAGGCTATGCCTCCAATCCTCGTTGTCCTCTAGCCTGCCTTCCTCTAGTTTGTTAACTGTGTCCCAGTTTTACAGTCACTCTGCTGGCAGGAAACTTGTGTTCTCAAAAAGGCCTGTGTTACTTTTTCTTCACTTCACACTCCCTATTTAGAAGCCTAGAGAAAATCATGTGTCTTGTGTTATTCATCACAAGCACTATGAACCTTGCTATATTACTTTTTCTTTATCCTTTTCTCTTCCAGATAAACTGTCAGTGCTGGTGCCAAAGGTTTTCCACCGGGCAGAACATGGCTGATGCTCTGCAGTGCTCCCATCTTTCCAGTTGTGGAGTTGATGCTGACAGGGATCAATGGGACTTAGGACTTTGGACCCTAAAAGAAATGCTGTGGGGCAGGGGCAGCTCCCAGGTGGGGGCCTCATGGCTGGAGTGGATGAAGTCATCTGGAGGTTGGGGATGACAAGGCATGAAGGAAAATGATTGCTGCAGATGGCAGGGCCGCTGGCCGGAGGGAAAACACTGGGGATAGGTTTCTGTGGACCCATTGAATGCGTGTTGAAAACCCATTTGGATCTCATGATGAATGTAAAAATGTTCTTGGTATACCGTTTAATTCAGACCTGCTTGGAGGAAAGTCTCTTGAAATGAGCTGTAGCGGGATTCCCTGGATTTGTTCCTGGACAAGTGAGTTTTGTGGCAGTTGGCCAAAGCTTTGCTGGGGAATGGGTTGGTACTGCGAAGCCTTTAAAATTGCTCCACTACAAAATGGTTGGCTGTGTCCCATGCAGCAATCTTGAGTGCAGGCTGGCAGGGAAGCAGGCTGGAAAATGTTTCCTGCCCTGTGCGTTCACATATGTTGTGCCATGAAGTGGTGAGGAAGTGCTGTGATCATGCAGAGACAAAAGCAGGGCAGTCAGTGTGCCTCTGGCACATGCTATTTCTTATCCCTAGTGTAACCATTATCCCTGAACAGCTGCTGGTCTGCCATAGCTGGTACTGCTGCACTGCCATTTTGGTACTCTCTGTGCATTGTGTCCACTGGAGCACTAAAAATCTAGATCTTGCTCGTCCTCCTAGGAAAGCCACCCAGGCATCTTTGTGCAGAGATCTGGTAGAAGCAGTGTGTGGCTGTGTAGTACAAACTGATCCTGATCCCCCTGGCAGCCATGCTTCATGAGCAGCCATCTTCCCTCTCCAGATGTGGGAAAGGGCAGGCTGAGCACTGGTACCAAAGTTCAGGTTTCTCCCCCAGGTGTGTGGCTTCGAGGACTTCTAAGATGTTGCTGATAGTTTATGCCCTGCAGCTGAGCCCTGGTAACTGTGCTGTGTGAGTCCTGCTGCATGCAAATATTAATTTAATGTAAATCAATAGGAGGCAGGCATTTCCAGAGCCAGGATCCCTTCATCAGACGCTGGGGGAGGTCTGAGAGATTATGGACTTAAAATACTTGTGTTAATGTACAGCTCTTAACTCTTTGGGCTGTGATGGCAGACCTGGGGTGGGTGGTACAGGTCAGCAGGCAGTGCCCACCAGGATGTGAGCTGGCCAGGCCTGCAACCATTGCAAGAGAGTGGTGTGTCCTGTTGGGACCTGCTGCAGTTGCACAGATGATATTCCCCTGGTTTCTGATCCTTCAAATGCCAGCCTTGTGTGAGGCTGTAAATCTTCCCATTGGCAAGAACTTAATGCTGGCAAAGCAGGGCAGCATCCACTCCAGCAGAAGATCCAGAGGCCAGGTATGAGCAATCAAGCCATGTACCTTACTTCAGGGGGGAAAGCTGCCAAATAAAAGCTGGCAGCTCGGTCAGCTTCCTGTCTCTTCAGGGTTTCATTCCAGCTTGGGAGGGTAACTTGGGCTCAGATTTCATGTGTTGACCTGCTACCTCTGGCAATGAACCTTATGTCAGTGAGAATCATTAATTGATTGTGCTTCTGTGTTGCTGTGGATAAACTGGAGACTCAAAACTGTCTGTGGTGGCTGGAGAAGGTGAAAAGGAGGTGAGATCTTTGAATGGTGCTCAGGAATAATGCTAGGAAACTCCTTTGTCCTGAGTCTTGCTGCCCATGAACCATGCCTGGTACAGGCAGAACTTGTGTTAGAGCATTGCCTACTGTCACCTCCCGTGCTGGGCAGCCTTCTCCTCCTGTTTTGCTGCTACTCACCTCTCTTTCCATTCTCCATAGGAAGAAACTAGCGATTTGTTGCTGTGAAGTTGCGTGGAAACCACATTGTAAAGAAACCACAAACTGGAATCCCTTTCCAGCCGGAGGCCTGTTTCCCAGTGTGCCCATCTGGTCTGGGATGTGTGAGCATTGAAGGAATGAGAGGACAGAGCAGACTGCAAGAGGACTTACAGCCTGCTCCTTGGGACTGCAGCCCTCCTGGCCGGGTGTGCCACCTCTGTGGGAGCATTCCCTGGCCTCTGCAGGCACGCAGGCTGCTGCTGTGCTCTGAAGCCGTAATGCCAGGAGTGTGGCAGTATGCAGATCAATCTAGTTGGGTCTGTTTAATACAAAACGGTGATTGCTCATCCACCCACTGTTTAGTAACTGGTGTTACTGTGTTTTCATCCAAATTTTTTTAATATGCAAAAGCCATTTAATTTTCTATGCAGTTCAGAAACATCTCGCCTTTGCAGAGATTTGCCAGGTGGGAGATCCATGCAGGAGAACCAAACCAAGCGGCTCATAGTACTTTTGATTTTGCTGTCGCTGTTTTTAAGGATGCACACTGGGACCCTCATACAGCGTCCCTTTGCTGAGCTCCTGCCTCAGACCTCACTTAATATCCCTCAGCCCCAGGGATGAGAGCCCTGTATTTTTGAAGGATCTGTCATTTTTCATCAATCAGTCAATCAATCCACAAGAAAAGAGGGTTTAAATGCAGTGCCCTAACAGCAGATACCTGAGTTCAGAGTATGTATTACGTTCTAGTTCTTGTCCTTGCTCAGAGAGTTACCAAACTGTTAGAAATGACTAAGGCCTCTGTGGAGCACTCTGCAGCCTTTACTGAAGATGTATTATAAAGAGGTCAGAAAGGACTGGGACATCAGCCCTGTGGAGCTGACAATGAATTTAACTCCTTTGGAACAGGAGGAGAATCTCCTGGCAATCTCCTAGATGCCTCCTTCACCCAAGACGATTGTACTGGTTTTGCTTATTGGTTTGCAGACCCCTTGCTTGACCGGTTTTTGATTTCCTGCTAAAACTGGTTCAGACAGATTTGGAAGCAGAGCTAGTGAGCTGCTTTGCACTCCAGGACTTTCAGCAGCTGCAGTATGCCCTGGAGTACCTTGTGTTACGCTCTGAAGCAAAACCTGGGATTCAAGACTGCATCCGTCCAAGCCAAACTCCCAGGATACCAGCTTTGCCTTCTGGGTCTGTGTAATGTGAGGAATTCCATGTCCCTAAGCAGCATACAACTAGGTAGAGGTGAGAGAGAGTGAGCCCAAAGGGTGATGCTGCACATTTAGGTCATTTTAGGGGTTACAGGAGTACTTGGAGACTTCTGGCAGTTGCAGAGGGTCCTGGGTGATGGGACACCTCTGTTTTAACTTTGCTCTGAGCAAAAAGGTCAGAGAAGTAAGATTGTTTCCAGTCTGCCACAAGGCCAGGATCCCTTTGACTAGTCTCCTTTCATGGCAGTGCTGTTCTTTCTGCATTGTCTGTGCTTTGAGCTTGGGGGATTCAGCTTTAGAAAGTTAAACTGAAATGGAGGCTAGCGTGGGATTTACCCTGCCTTAAGGTCTCTCAGATCAGATGGAAGAGAGACTGGGGGCTGCAGAAGCATGGGTCATCTCCCTTGCAGCATTCCCCCATGCCACAGCTTCGTGGTGGCTGTAAAAACTCAGTAGTGTATTTGGGTGCTGCTTTCCCAGGAACTCAAGATGTGCTTGGCTGTGCTGTAGCACTGGAACTTACGTGGGGTCCCTGTTCTCTTTCCCATTGTACCTCTGAGGCAGCTAAAGTTTGTCCAAGCAGTTGAGGCTCCTCACGGTGAGGAGTCAGATACAGTTGTGTCAAAGGGAACTGCAAATATTACTTAGGAACTCACTAAGTGAGATGTAAATGCACTGGCTCACTCCTGCAGAGCCAGATCCCGGAGCTCAGTTCCTCTCGTGCCCTTTGGATGGGATCTTGGGCTGGCATCCTTGGAACAGCTGTGCCGGGAGGTGGAGATGCTGCACTGCAGTAAGCACAAGAAGAGGCAAGCGAGTGGGCCTCAGTGTAGCACTCATCACACGCTTCATGGCTCAGTTCATGGACTGTAACTGCAGGTATTCATATAGTCTACACCACTGGGCAGGACTCTGCGCACACACACATGCATGCCCAGACACACACGCACCACACCCACACTTGCCCACACGTCCTCGCCAAAATGACTGAAAATAAAAGTGATCTCAATCTCCACGAGAGTCCTGGCTGTGTGATTTGTTTTTCCTCTTGCAGTGCCTCCTTGGCCTCTCGCTATGGAAGGGTCTGCACCTAGCTGTAGATCTGTGCTGTAGCAAAGTCATGAAGAGATTTGCCATTGAGTGATCTGTGCATGGAGCCGCTTATTTAGTATCTGTGAATCACTGCCCACTTCAGCAAGGCAGGTGATTTCTGGGGAACAGATTTTTTACACACTTTTAAGGTATTTTATGGTTTTGTAAGGCCCACTCAGTGGTTCTCATTGGTACCATGTTGTTTGCATTTGTGTAAAGCTTGGTTTCCTGCTCACGTTCAGAGCAGGTTTTGGAGGCAGAGTAATAAGCAGGTGGTCCTCTGCTTGGCAACGGGAGCCTTTGTGGCAGCACCAGGAGCATGAATTAAAAACGGGAGCAAATCCCTTCCCACTGCTGCCGATTAACCCCCTCTGGCAATTAAGCATCATCACAGCTGCTCACTCACCACCACCTCCTGGTGGGAAGGAAAATAGGAAAAAAGTAAAACCTATGGGTTAAAAGCAGTTTAAGAATGGAAGCAAAGTAAATATAATAATACTAATGATAGTAATTGCAATGAAAGAGAGAGGTCTAAAACCCAAGAAAGTGAGTGATGCACAGTACAGTTGCTCACCACTCACTGACTGATGCCTAGCCCCTCCCCCAGTGATGGGGGATGAGCATCAGCAGCTCCCAGTCAACTCCTCCTCCTCCCCTCCATTTATATACTGGGCAAAATGTTCCATGGTGTGGAGTATCCCTTTGATCAGTTTGGGTCAGCTGTCCTGGCCATGCTCCTCCCCAGGTTGTGCACCTTCTCACTGGCAGAGCACGAAAAACTGAAGGGCTTTGACTTAGAATGAGCACTACTGGGTAACAACTAAATAATCAGTGTATTATCCACAATATTCTCATACTAACTCCAAAAAACACAGCGCTGCAGCAGTCTCCAGGAAAGCGAACTATCCCAAAAATCAGGACGTGCACATATAGCCCCAAGGACGTGTGTGATCTCACTTCTGTCAGAACTCAATGTGGAGGAGACACACCTCTGTGGCACACCCACCCGAGGATGACAAATGCTGCACAGCAAGTCTTGGGGAGGGGCTGTCATCATCTGCAAGGAGATGCTGGTGTGCCAGAGTGAGCTGGGAGGCTGAGGCTGGGTGCTGGGGTGCCAGCCACAGCAGGGCTGGCACAGAGAGAAGATTCTGCGCTGTTTAGTGGCTGGCGGATGTGGAGGTATTGGCGTGGTTGCTTTAGTTGGGTGCCAATACACATGAGCCTCCATCAGTGAGGGATACTGGGCGGCGTTTTGGGACTGTTGGAAGCACTAGCAGAAAATAAATTGACCTGTGATGGACAGAGAGACTTCAGCGCTTTGCCTCCACCTCCTGGCCAAGATACAGAGAGCTTTACGCGTCTTGTGTCGCCCACCTCACCCTGCTTGTTGACTGTGGATTAAGGGATATGGGGAACAGCACGGCACGGCGCGGCAAATTCCCTGGCAGGAAGGGGCTGGGGGTGAACTGCATCCTTCTCGTGCCTGTGACCTGGCACCCAACACACCATGGGTGTCCTAGATCCGTGTTTCGGGTGCTCTCTGCAAAATCACAGGAGATTATGAAAATGCCACGCGAAGGAGGACGGAGGCATAAATGAGGTGTCTGCCCAGTGTGTGTTTCCCGTAACACGGAGAGCGCTTCCAGCGAGCTGCCGTGACCCCAAACCCCGGGGGCACTGCAGGGCGGCAGCCCTGGCGGGCTGAGGCGGGCGCAGGAGGCGGCGGTGCTGCTGCAGAGGGGCAGAGCCGAGGGCTAGCGGGGCTGAGGCTGAGGCGGCCGGGCACGCGTGGCACCGGCCCACCGCAGCGTTTGGTGCCACACGGGAACGCCGGGAGCCGCGGCCGCAGCTGCTCGGCTCTCACGGGGCCGCTGCTCCGCCCAGGGGCGGGCTCCGCGCTCTCCCGCCTCCGACGGGCCGCCGTCCCCGCCGCGGTTCCCGCCGCCGCCGCCATGGAGGAGCAGAAAGAGAACAGCCCGCAGGCCGCCTGGGACGAGGCGGCGGCTGCTCCTGCAGCCCGCCCGCCGGTGAGTGCGCGGGGCGGCGGGGGCGGTGTGGCCGGGCCGAGCCGAGCCGAGCCGGCCCGAGGCCGCGGCCCCGCGTCCGCTCGCCCGGGGGGCCCGGCTGCCCGCCCGCCCGCCCGGCCGCCTCGGGCCTCGGCCCGCCCGGCCCTGCCCCGCCCCGGGGCTCGCCCTCCCGGGGGGCGCCGCCGCGGCCGCGCCGTGTGCGGGCCCCGCGAAAGCCGCGAGCAGCGGGCGGGAGCCGGGAAGCGCCCATAGTTTTCCCTCTCGTTTACTGCTTTGTTTATCTTGCGCGCATTGGGCGCCGGCCCGCGTGTGGATTCCGGTTAATTCAGTCGTCGAGAGAAATCTCGCTGCTCCTGAAGGCTTTGCCCGTTTGCACCAGAGAACTCTTTCGGTTGAGATTAGGATGCGTACTCAGGTTGTGGCTCCAAGCGCTGCTGTTCGACCTGGCTCAAGACATGAGCATTAGTAGCTCTTCATTCTGTTTGTTGCTGTTTAGGAAAACATTGTTTCAGAGCAGGCTTCAGTATTGATTCTCTTGCCTATCTATAAACTAGTTCACTCAGTTTGATCATAAGTGTAACGGTGTGACGCTTTACTGCGATCTGGTGCCAAAACGAGCTGTGAAATGCTCAAACATCTTGTTTTGGAGTTCTTAAATGACTTCCTGATTTCTCTCTTTTCTAGGGTAGACAGCATTGTAGGATCAGTGATCAAGAAACTAATGGCAAAACCTCAGCTGCCAGTTCAAACGACTTCAGCGATCCGATTTACAAAGAAATTGCTATAACCAATGGTTGTATCAACAGAATGACCAGAGAAGAGCTCAGGAGTAAACTCGCAGAGTTCAAGCTTGAAACCAGGTGATTTGTAAACATGTTGATTTATCTTTGAGAGCAGTAGAGTCATGAGGGATGATTTTTTTAAAGCTTAAAAACTCGGCACAAAGTGAAAAGCAGACTCAGCGCCAGACACCAGTTGTTTTATGTGCGATCTTGTTGCAGCTTTTTTGTTGTAGGATTAATGCTTACTGCTTAATGTGTGCTATCTCAACTGGCAACCCAAAGAAATGCAAGAATACATAACTGAAAGGTACTTCTCATCACTTTTTGGTCAAGGGGGAAAGAAGAACTGCTGTGGTTCTCAGGTGGTGCTGCAGACCTTCAGCATACAGCAACTTGCTTCAGAACATCCATATTTTTATTTAGTGTACCAGTACAGATCTGATACTTGCTACAAACCCTGGTGAGGGGCTCAGGACCTTTAGAGGGAGAGTTTGCTACTCTGAATATGTGTACTAGAAAAATGTGAAAAAATGAATGTATTATAAGCTGGATTTGTGTTCACTGGGGCAGAGGCAAGGGAGTATAGTGTAGTTCCTGCTGTACTGGAAATGACCTTCAAGATTAATAATTCTGTGGCCAGGCAAGATATTGAGATATTGTGTAGAAGGTCAGCTGAGAAAAATGGTGTGTTGTTTCTGTAGGCAGCAGGAATGAGGAAGTAGTGCTGGGGAGTTGATTGGTTAAATTAATTTAGTGCCTCATGAGGAGAAAATCTTGCCATGTGAATTTATTTATAGCCACATACCTCTTGAAAAGCAGGATCTTGACCAGAAGGTTTTTCTGACAACTGAAATCTCAAATACTTTAATTGAGTTATTCAAGCTGGATTTAAAATTTAAATTTAGAAAACTCTAAGATGTGGACGTTCAAGATGGATTCTGTGTTGCCACACAATGCCCCTGATGCAGAAAGGCCTCAGGCACGAATCACTTCAGTAGAGGGGAATGAATACAGGTGAAGCAGTGCTTCTTCCAGGGCCAGAGGTCAACCAGGAGTAATCTGCGAAGTCTTGAGCTTTGGAAAGGCTTCGGATACCGAGTCTTGCTGAAGCAGAGGTGACTGCAGAGTGTGTCTGTGCCATGCTTCCCAGTCTGTCTCTGGTGTTTACTGTGAGGGGTACCACAGCCTCTGGGTTATCCCAGAAGTGGGTTTAACGTGGTGAAGATAACGGGGCTAACACTTCTCTATGATAAAGTGGAGTTCAGACTTCACATGTGCTGCTGTTCAAAATGAGGTTAAGAAGTGTTGAGCTTTCAGATGTTAAATATAGCTTCAGTTTTACAGCAAGGAAATAATTAAACAAGAGTGTGATCTTTGTCACTTTCCCTATTTCTTTAGAGGAGTGAAAGATGTACTGAAAAAGAGATTGAAAAACTATTATAAGAAACAGAAGCTGATGCAGAAGGAACACATTAGTGGAGACAGCTGCTATGACTACATCTGTGTTGTTGACTTTGAAGCAACTTGTGAAGAAGGAAATCCGCCTGAATTTGTTCATGAAATAATTGAATTTCCTGTTGTCTTGGTAAACACACGTACCCTGGAAATAGTAAGTGATCTAATGTTTGTGTTGGTCTGATGTTTTTTGAAGTAACTTGTTTGCATCAGAAAGTCTAGATTAGTTTCTAGGGAGATGTTGAACTTCATTAAAAATAACATACTTTTTTTTTTTTCATAAGGCTTTATCCTCTGTGCCTCTTAGGTACAAACAAAACTTTCTCTTCTGAAAGCATTTTCCAGATGGTCATCCAAGTAGATCATTCTCCTGCTGTTGACTCCCTCTATTGATATGAATTTCTCAGTTGTCCATGTATGTTCCCTCCTGCCCTTTCTTTCTCCTGCTTTAAGGCCCACAAATCTATTTCTAGGACTCAAGGCATTCATCATAATCAAAAATGATCAATTCTGTGGTCCTGTGTGAGCAGTCTAGAAGACACTAATGCAGAGGCCTGGAAAGTGAGGTTGAGTGAACTCCACTCCTTGCCAGGCCCAGCTGTCTCCACATTGTACCCAACAGACTGACAGCTGTGTAACCTGATTTTAAACATACTTCACAGGCATTTGGTAGCCTCAAGTGCTCTGTTGCAGTACAGCTTTCTTTTAGGACTAACTACCTGCTGCTTGACTGAAATAGTCACCCAGTGAAACAAAGGATTTGCACACACCTCTGACTAATGATTCATTTATGAAGAACTCTTAATGGAAAGTGGATTTTCAGTAATCATTGTGATGCTACAATAAAGAATTATTAACAGCAGGAAAAGGAGTGTGCAGATTACCAGGATTGTTTTTATGGCTCTTAGAGTGTTTTTTTTTTTCTTGTTTGTCCAAAAGGTTTTGTATAACAGCAGGGATTTGGGGCTTTCTTTTTTCCATGAAACTTGCCTTCAGTCTTCACTCTTGTGTTGCTCAGTTTCCCAGAGTGAGATTTTGTTTGTCTCTCTTGGCTGGCATCCAGAGGCACTTGCCTGCAGCTTCTGAGGTGTGCAGCTGGTTGCTTTCCTTGAATTGCAGGTGAACCTTTAGAGATACCACCTAAAAAACCTCATGCCTCTCACTTAGTTTTAATTACTTTCACTCTCCCCAAATCCTCTGCTTTTTTGCAGAAGAAAGTCCTTTTTCCCTCTTAAATCCACATTCCCACTCTCTGGTGGCTGCTGGCTGAGAGGAAGGCCATGTTCTGGTTGGAAAGCCACCTGTGCTGTTAGGAATCTGATGGTGGCCAGTCAGGAGGCTCCTGCTGGCTCAGGAGGTGCACATTCCTTTTTGCCTGCAGCAGGACAAGCAGCTGCTGTTGCCTTTGGGCTGCAGGCGAGCCAGAGAATTGCCTTTCAGGCTGCAGAGTGTGCTGCAGCTCAGCCATTGATTCTCCTGTTACAGGAGGACACCTTTCAGCAATATGTGAAGCCAGAGATTAATCCCAAGCTTTCAGACTTCTGCATCAGTCTGACAGGAATAACCCAGGTAATTTGCACTTTTGTTTCTTCAGGAAGAAATAGGAAAAAAAAAGGGGGATATGTTGTTGATGTGTTCAGACTGGAAACCTTAAATGGTAGTCTTTCATGGTTATTTTTCTGTAAGGCCTGCTCTCTTAATCCTTGTTTTTCCCCTCTCCCAATTATCACAGAGCTGATTTCACTAAGTTGGTCATTTTGTTGGGAAGGATATTCTCTTTTTAATTAATGTGGAGAAATTTAATCTTTAGTAGGGCAAAGGACCTTTTGAATTGTATCAGTTCCTCTCCTAATATTTTTGCTCTGAAGAGTTTAGAGTCTTAGGATGGCAATGGTTTGTGATAAGTGACTTAAGAAGAAGCCTGGGAAACAACCTCAAAGGTTTTAATCCAGGTTCAACTACAGACTAACCTTGTTACCTTTACAGAAGCTATTAGGAGGCTGACTCTTTAGCAGAGCTTTTGTGGTGCTATTTTTTCAGTTTAGAAAAACCTGTCCAGTCATTTGTTAACGTGTAATATGGTTTTGTAAAGATTTTGATGAAGCCAAGTTTTTAATTGCCCATATACCAATACAGCTGATACACCTAATGCTGAGGGATTTTTTTCTGAAAAAATGTTCCTTACTTTGTTGGTTTTGTTTTTGTTTTTTTTTTTTTGTTCCCTTAGGACATTGTTGATAAAGCTGATATTTTTCCTCAAGTTCTGCAGAATGTCGTAGAGTGGATGAGACAACGAGAACTGGGAACAAAGTACAGCTATTCCATGTTGACTGATGGGTATGTCCTTATGCAGCCTTCAGCACAATCTAAAACTGCAAAACCACCTTTAATATTTGTGAGAGCATTGCTAAAGATGGATCAGGACACTGCCATTTTGCTGGTTTTATTTTAATTGAAGCTTTTGTTAAAATTGGTAACGCTGAACTGAACTATTCAGAATGAAGCTTAAATCCATCAGATGGCACCGTTTCTTTCCTAGTGGTCTGTATGCAACAGAGTGATGCTGGAGACTTTATACTTTGTTGCTGCTGTAGTTCTCCATTTATATCTAGCACATAATACCTGAAAATAACACTCTGCAATTTTTAATTTTTAACCTATAATTACATTGCTATCTTTGGAAGCAACAGTGAATTAAAAAAAGGAAATGCTAAAGTAAAGCTGATGCAAGACTGGTTATATTACTGGGTCTCTGGAATTCCTCTCCAGAGGAATCCCCTCAGTGAAATTCCTTAAGGAAAACAGGTGCATTAAAATATCTGTTGTACAGGTGAGACTGCATGGACAACTAGAAGAGATGGGGGAAAAAAGCTTTACTTTAGCTTGCAGCTTATAAACTTGTTGGGGTGGTTCCCTTCAGGAGGACAAGCCGCTAAATAAATAGGATTATAATCTCTTCTTATTTTCATAGAGATCTGGTTTCTCATAAAACTTGGTGCAGTCTAGTTTCAATAACCTACCTGAAGCAGAGACATAAATGCATACCCAAATAATCAGGAAGATTTAAGGTATTGCTTGCTTCCCCGAGGGCTGTGTAAGCATCTGATTTATTGGCAGTTTTCAGTGTTGATGTGTAGTTGGTGTGCTGGTTTTTGTCCTAACCGTTGTGGACCTGAAACCATCCTGGTAAAAATCTTGCTCCTGTCATTATTTTTTTCCCCGTGATTAACAGATTCATATAAAAAAATTCTTTACCAGGATTACAGCAAATGAGCTTTTCCTAAACTGTTTTCATTCTACAGATCACCAGAGACAAGACAACTTTTAGTTCTAGACCAGTGCAATATGTAGAACACAGGGTTATATATGACTAATGTTTTCCTCTTTTGACTTTCTAAGATCTTGGGACATGAGTAAATTTTTGAACATCCAGTGCCGTATAAGCCGTATCAAATACCCTTCTTTTGCCAAAAAGTGGATCAATATTCGCAAATCATATGGGAACTTCTACAAGGTTTGTGCAAATTGCTGTTTCTCTTAAGTTTTGGTTTAAAAGTCTAGAGTGGCCTGTTGGGCTTGTCATCTCTACTTGTGTAGTATAAAATTACAGTACTTGAACTACTTGCCTGGTGCCTGATTTTCAAATGTGTTTCATGTGCAGATCTCACTTCACTAACTGAAGATCATGTAATTACTGCATTTTGATTTTAATCTTGCTTTTAAGAATCGGGTTGTGCTCCTTGAAAGATTGTCTAAAAATGTTATACCGGTCCTCTTAGATCAAGTAGTTCAGCTGAAAAGACTGTCTTGATTTTTTGATTATTTTTTCCTGTTCTCATGCAATACACTACAAAACTAATTTCTCATAGAATCTTGACTTTTGACAGTGTAATGGAGGCAGAGAAAGATTAGGATGTATCTACAGTGGAATCAAATTGTCAAGAGAAAAGTAATACTGAGTTCAGTGCTGGGCCTTATTGCTGCTTTCTGTCAGACTACCATAAAATGAGTTATTGAAGATTCTAGCAAATTCCCAATCAGCCTACACCAAAGTATTTTTTTAAAGGGATTTCAGTGTAGGTAATGGTCTTCATTTGAAGGGTTTTTTCATCCCAAATGTAACCTCTAGATAAAAGAGAGATTGACATTTAATTAGGGAAGAGCTTTACTTTGTGCTGGACAAATATTACAGGGTTGCTGTAGGTGTTGCTGATCAGATCCTGTGAAGGCTGAAGGCATTCAGGAGCCTGATGTCAGTGAGAATCAGGAGCTCCGTGCATCTGTAATCACTTAGAATTTAAAAGGAAAACCAAACTCAGATTCCCTCTGCAAGGTCACTGTTTTTTGTTTTTCATAAAGATGGTTAAACTTGTCTAGGTCACAGCTTCCACCCTTGCCAGCACAAGTGTATCTTGAGCTGGTGCTGGTCAGAGGCTCTTGACCCAGGACCCGGGTCTAGACAAACTCCTGTTGACTGTTTCTCCTCTGTTAAAATGAGAGTCTCTGTCTCACCAAGGTGCTTTAAGTTAAATGGTAAGTGATCTGACAGAGGCAACATGAAAGTAATTTGTGACTTAAGTAGGCTTAAAATCTGCATGTGTTTCTACTGCCCCCTGTTAGATTAAAAAGACTTGGTACCCAACCTAATCCTTGAATGTTACTCACTTTCTCCATCAGGTTCCTAGGAATCAGACCAAGCTGACAATCATGCTTGAAAATCTGGGCATGAGTTATGATGGGAGACCTCACAGCGGACTTGATGACTCTAAAAACATTGCAAGGATCGCCATAAGGATGCTGCAGGACGGCTGTGACCTGCGGGTGAATGAGAGAATTCACGGTGGACAGCTGATGACAGTCTCCTCCTCAGGCCCCTTAGAGGGAGCCCCTGCTCCACAGATGCCCCGCTGCAGAAACTAGCAAATCAGGGCTCTGCCCCGGGGGCTGCCCTCACATACCCGCTAAAGACTCCAGAGCTTGTTAAATGGGCACCTCTGCCAGCTTGTCTGCCGTGCAGAATCCTAAAGCACCTTAACTAATCATCTCTGTTGAAATAAAGAGGAGCATGGAAGCTGTTTGTCCTTTGAAGCCTATTACAGCAATTTCTTTTTGTACTGGTGACTTCTGCTAGCAGTGAGGTTGATATCTGGAATCCAGACAAAGTGTTAAGCTTTTAAGAAGGTGTAATTTGAACACCTGCTAAGAGGGATTGGGCCTGTGTGCTGCTGTACCACCCCAGCCTGTGGGCAGTATTTGTTCACTGTGATGTACTCCAATGGTATCCAGCATCTATCTGCTTATTCATTGCACACAAATAAGCCATTCCTGGAAGAACTGAAAGAGCAGTGGTTGGGCTGGCCCTTCCTGATGAGGCACTCTGCTAAGGGTTCCTAACATTGTTTTTTATTTTTTACAAAGTCTAGGAGAAATGGGTGTGCATTCATCAGCTCTAAAGCAGTAGAGGAGTACTCTGTTGTTTGAGGTTCTTCTTTCAGGGATATGTTTGTCTGCTTCCCCATCAAATGGAAGATCTGAGTGTTGAATAAAAATTTCATTAGTGTAGAATGATGGTATCTTTCTATTGTTTCTTTAGATTTCCACTCTAAGGATCCCATCTATTCCTGCAAAGCTGCCCTTCATTGAATGTTGTTTTTAGACACCATCAGCCATTTGCACTTAAAAATGAGTGAAGTAAAAAGTAAGTTCAAAACATGCCAAGTTATCAAAATTTCATGCTCTGTGATTATTACATAAAACAAAACAAGAAGCTTCTCATTCATGGCTAAAGACGTGTTCCGCTAGTTTTGGTATCTTCTTGTGCTTCTGCCACCATGGAGCTATGCCTTTATTACAAAATCTAGCATTGGAGGATTAATATGATTTTATTGTTAAAGGCCACAGTTAATTACTAGCAACTTCTGCTTACTCCCCAGGCCTCAGATAAGATGATATTCAAAGGAGGCCAAAGTGCTAATTTGCTTTGTCTCTGAGGGCTGTTACAAAGTGCACCATTAATGTGATCAACTTTGCATTAGAATGGTTGTTCTGAAAAGTGGAATAATGTATTTTGGTTGCTCTTGGTTTGAAAAAAAAATAAAATTTGCTATCCCTGTATTACAATTCACCCTTTTTACCACCTACATTCAGGCCACAAAATAACCAATCAATAAACTTTGTTAAGAACACTGACTGTCTGACTAATTCAACTCCTCCCAGCCCTGCTTTGCTCTTCTGACTGTTAAACTGCATCAATGGAATTGTGAAAACTTCCATTTTAAATTCATGCAGGAGGGAGAAGTATTAGTCAATTCTCAGTTGCTTTATATGATCTCTTTCTTGAGTCACAAATTTGGACACTCATAACTGCTTCAGAGTTATGGTTTTTGGTGGTGGTTTTTTTTTTTCCCTGAAAGTTTGGTCTTTTTGTTTGTTTGGGTTTTTTTTTGCATGAAAGCAGATAGTTGCTCTCTTGCAGAGAACTTTGTTGAACTTTATAGTTGTTTTTCCTTTTGTAGCCCTACTTGATGGATTTTCACAAGGTAAAATACAAATCTCTGATATGCTTTCTCCTAAAATGCCATTTATCTGTCATATTTCGTACAAATTCTTATATACATGCTTTTCACTGTAGTGACTGTAGTATCCTCTTTTTCTGAAGTACCATGGTAATTTACTTTTTTTTGTGTCTGAGTTACAGCTGTGCAAGTTTCTGTGACAAAATTGAGTCTAGTTCAGCAGATCCCCTCTGGGCATGGTGGCAGCCAGAGACTTTATCACTAATCTTTATTTACACGTCTGGAACCAGGCTCACAGTCAAATGAGTGTAGGGGGATACAATATAAGAAAATAAAGGTAGTATAGAAAGTGATCTTGCCCCTTAAGGAGTTGCAGCTGAGCTAATTATTAGAGGTTAGGAACAGGCTGCAGCTGTAGCCAATAAGAAGAGTGTTATAAAAGAGTGGATTGGGTGGCTGAGGGCAGCTGGAGTCAGTTGGCTGCTGTGAGAAGAAGGAAGTCAGTGCTTAGAGGAGATGCCTATGGGAAACATCAAGGAGGTACAAAACTCTGGCAATATGGAACCTTTGCAATATAATGACAACAAATGAGAAACTTTTTGTTTTTTACAGATTATACTACAGGTTGCATGAGAGCTGTTGTAATTGTACATAACTTATTTTAAGTACAGAGTTGTTTATTTTTGCTAAGTAACTTCAAAAAGATATTTTGAGATAAGGGTTAAATCATAACTGTTTTCTGTTTACTGCTTGAGTAGGTTGGGATGTTTTCTATCAGTGAGCTGCAGAAATCAGTAGAATCATTCCAGATTCTATTTTATCTGTTGGATTAATGTCAAACAGTATGGTGTAAGTATTTTCACAGAATATTTGATTCTGTGATTTTGAGGTGAAGTGAATTTTAACAATGTTTGCTAATTTGTTTGCAATGTAAACAAACTTATTAAAATAATTTCATATTTTCAAATACGTCAGGTACTGAATTTGATCTGTATAGCATGGGATGATGTCAACAGTCTTGGGGGTCTGCAGCAGCTCAGCTCATGATTTGTCTTCTCCAGTAGACCAGCAACATTACCGTGGATGGATGGCTTAAATCTCATGCATGTGACTCGTTCACAACACTCAGTATTGAAATAAATTTTCCTGGCTACTTCATACCTCAGGGGAAGAAAAGAGTTTGGTGGTTTTACTAGTGATGCTCATATTCAGCCAAACAGTGTTTTTTTCAGGTTGATCTCATTTGTTCATCCAAAGAAGCTTACTGGAGCATCTGCTGTAATGAATATCTTAATTTATTACAGGAGTCTTCCCAGGAAAAAATAATTGACAACTATGTCAAAAACAATCCAATCTCTTTTTTATGCAGAAAAAAAAAAGCATGCAGACATTGATTGCCAGCTATTAAAAAGACATACCAAGAAGGAAAAGAGAGGAAAGAAAAGGAAAAATAAAAAAAGAGAACCCCAGGCAAGAGCAGGGCGCAAACCCGGGGGAGCGCTTGCCCGCGGTGCCGGTGCCGCTGCAGCGGCGATGTCGCGCTGGAGGCGCGGGTGCAGAGCGCGGCCGGCAGGGGGCGCCGCTCCGTCCCCCCGCGGCGCCGGGGGTGCGGGGTGTCAGACGTGTTTTATGAAAAATCCTTTCCTTAGGAATTTTTCTCCTGAGAAGCTGAGAGGCCTCAGGAACAAAATGTAAACAATGATTATCTGCTGCTGTGGAATGCAACAGGTGGATCTGTGATTGGTCTCATGTGGTTGTTTCTAATTAATGGCCAATCACAGTCCAGCTGTCCGGGCTGACTCGGTCAGTCACAAGCCTTTGTTATCATTCCTTTTCTATTCTTAGCTAGCTCTCTGCTGAAATCCTTTCTTCTATTCCTTTAGTATAGTTTCAGTATAAAATATATCCTAAAATAATAAATCAAGCCTTCTGAAACATGGAGTCAACATTCTCGTCTCTTCCCTCATCCTAAGACCCCTGCGAACGCCATCACAGCGGGGCTCGGCTGGCACCGGGGGGCTGCTCTCAAACCGCGTGGTAATTATCTCTGTTCCATGCAAAAACAGAACAAAACAGGGCTCCACACCCCCCAAAAAAGAGGGAAAAGCAGGGATTACGTCATTTGTTCTTAAAGAGAATGGAAATCCTTTTTCCTTGAGGAGTGGAGGGAGACTGTTTTTCCCGCAGCCTCCTGCAGGTGGAGAGCTGGAGGATAATTTAAGGTTTGATGCAGTCGGGCACAGAACACAACTCCGTTCCTAATCTCAAGGAGAAATTCAAGGAATTTCTTGAAGTCAGAATGGTCGATCTTGATTCAAGTCACTGCCCCATCATAAACACAGCTTTTTTTTTTTTTTTTTTTTTTTTTTTTTTTTAATGATTGATTAGAGCTGTTTCGGTTCACAGAGGAATACAGTTCGAATGAAAAACTGTGCTTCCAGTGGACAAAGCCGAAACTTCTATCAGCTTCTCAGGGAAGTCTCCCTGTAGTCCCCATCCCCTGTTACAAAACCTCACCGCATAACCCCAGTACAACTGGCAAAACACACAGTCCTGGAAGGTGATTGCTCCAGGAATCAGCCCAGTGCTTGCTTCAGAGCTGGGTAGGCAGTGGCCCAACAAAGTTGCAGTAATCAGTTTTCTGCCAAAGAAAATAAAATATACGGGCAGAAAGGAGGGTAAAGGGAGCATGTTGAAGAAGGCTTATTGTTGCTTGTGAAATGTGCAATATTTTGGTGATCTTTGAAAAGAAGCATGCTCTCTACTGTGAAAAAAACCCCAAACCCTCTTTGTAATCTCATCTTTGTATTACTCATCCTGAGTAATTTTGTGTTCTGTGAGAATCCTGTTGCTAGTAATGAAACTGATTATAGAGTATTGTCAGATGTGCTTTGATACTGTATGAGAAAGCTAGTGCAACCACTGAAATTATTAGCATGGGGAAAAAAGGATTATAGTAGCATAAATGAATGAAGGGACTGATACTGGAATAGGAAAAATATTGATAATACTGCAAATACTTTGCTGATAACTTATGCATTGAGAACTCCTGGCTTTTATTAACAAAACCAATAAAATATCATAGGTATCCTAGGTAGACATTATTTCTTTATCCTGAATACTAATTCATTTTACTGAAGCCTTTTTCATTTGCTCTTCTCCCCCAGAATCACTCAGATTCTTTGACAGAATCCCAGTATTCTGAGAGGAAAATTTTTCCAGCTGATTTTTAAAACTATAATTATTTCAATAACATAGTAAAGATAGTAATTTGAGATTTTTCTCATCTTTCAGTGTAAAACTTGTATAGGTCATGGGACATGGCTAGTCAGGATATTTTTGTAGGCATGGACTTTTGCATTTTCTTTTCTTCCAGCTGTGAAAATACAGTTGCAAAACTAAATCCAGTTTATGTTGGTAACTGTTTTTTTCCCAAGGTTCTGAAGAAATTATTACCTCTCTGATGAAGGTATCTACTGAGGAAGCTGTGACTTCAAATGCAGCAAAAATTGGTGAATATAGGCACCATGAAGGACTCAGATGTTGAATTTAAAGATGATTATAATGACAGTTTTTATCACCCAAGTGATACTAGTCTGATGAGTGTTGATGAGATTCTGTTGCTGGTTCTACTAGATTTTCTTCCTTTAGAAAATGTTGGAGCCTAGGCAGTAGAGGAAATAAAATAGTTGGAAGCACATTTTGAAGCAAAAACTCCAGGCAGAAGTAGCAGGGGAAAAATGGTCTAAGTCCTTCAAAGTGTTTCTCTTCATATTTTGTTTTATGAATATTTGCACTGGTGTTGAGAGGCAGCAGGAGGAGTAGGCCAGGAAAACACTTAAATGAGAATGATGAAACTGAACTTATTAGACCAAGTGTTTTCTTGAAAAGAGAGTTAGAAGTGTAAGATTTATCTGCTTTTTTATTATTTGGGCAATGGGGAGAAAAGGTTTTACTTTGATCTATAGTATTTTTCCATTTCAAAGCATGATACTGATCAACAATTAAGTACTTTCTGACCAGGTCAATGCCAGGTCTTACATAGTAGGAAACTGTTTAATAAGTCTGTCTGAAAGTACAGATATTAAGCATGATATCTGAAATGTTTATTCATCCTTTGCCATAGCCCAGAGAATGGCTTGGAACAGATCCCCTTCCACAGTCATCTTCTGAAAAAAGTGTACTTGTTGAACAGTTCTCTTACATTAATGGCCCAATAATGTACCAAATATTGACACAATAATGACCAAATATTGAGTGTCATAAACTGTCCCTGTCTGAAGGCAGGTACAGTTTGCTCATATGTAATATAGCTAATACACCTGCTCTTTTTCCATTTTGAAAACCTTAAAGTGATATCTTTGGGCCTCAGGTCACTAGCCTCCCAGACCTCTGTGACTCCTGGGAAAGTCTGGGGGGAAGGAATGCTAACTATGTGAGAGGAAAACTGAGGTAAGTGTTCATATTAGCAGACTGAGACTGCAGGATGTGCGTCCAATATTGCTATTTCTTGTCTTTCTTTAAAGATTGTGGTGATTATGAGAGGCCTTCAGTAACTGGAGAAAGCTAATTAATATGCCCACTTTCAAAAGGGAAAGG